GCTATTGACATACATGAAATAGCGAATAGTGGCAGCAATACGTGAAACGTTGTCCAGGAGGTATGGTGGAGCGTGCACCTGGGGCTCCTCGACGTGAGGTAGAACGTGGTCGCTGGGCCAGGAGGAAGGAGTCTTATCTTGGACGGGATGGTATTGTTGAAGATTCGTTTTTCCTTTTCAGGCACCACAATTTTTCTCTTTCTGATAATTGAAAAGAGCTTTTCCCAGAGCACGTCCTGCCGTTGGGATTTTTTTTTGCAAAACACGACCTCTGCTAAGAAGAGATCCTTGCCTGACACCACCCCCTCCCAGCTCCTCATTCCCAATCCTACCTACCACCTCTAGAAATTTCCCCGTCCGCTGGGGAGAAGCCAACGGGGGCATGTCCACTCCTTCCCCACCCCCTACTCGCAGACTTTTTAGGATGATTCCGGGGGCGGATCATAGGAAATACTAAGGAATGTACGGGATGGGGGTGTCGTGTTTGCAGAAATTTTATTTTTTCTGTTGCTGCGTCATGCTGATCTTGTAACGTGTGAAGACTAAGAAATGCGGAATCGGTCCGTTTCCTTGCATGGTCTCAATTCTTCATCATACGAACAAGATGGAACATCAGATAGATGGTCATTATTGAGCTTTAATCGCATGTCAGATCCGTCCACAAGTAAATTGAACTGTGGGAATAATCGTAGATATGTTACGAGAGAGTTCTAGAGCTAGACGAGATAAATCCAGAAGCAAAAAGTGGTATTAGTGGAATATACGGCTAGATCGTTTCGTGGAAAATGATGCGCCCATTCCTCGTTTTTCCCCAGTGATTGCTATAGGCGTTAAATAGAACGTAGCGCTTCTAGTTGGACAGAAAGCAACTAATTCGAGGGTAAATCAAAAGAAAGCGGTCGCTCTAAGGTCCCGTTTCAATTGATCACAAGACCGTGTCTATATATTGTTTGACATAACATAGCTACATAGTTAGGAGTTTATCGCAGTCCCGTGAAGACTGAAAGGGAGAAAAAAGCCAAGAAATACTTGGCTTCAATATAAACTAGTGTCCTGGAAGCAACACACTGAGTTCCCCGGGGTATTGCTCAAACGGGGCTTGTCCTGTCGTTCAGGATTAGCGAAATACGATCTATTGCCAAAACTCCCCTTTCTGGTATGACCCTCCTTTCTCACCCGCCATCCTACCTACCACCGCAAGATTTCCCGACTAAGGCATACTACCACTTCCTCGAGTTTTTTTTCCGAGAATTTAGCAATTTCCACAACAGAACTGTCGATGAGGGGTTAGGTACACCCATGGTGTTTGTAAACGATGGGGCGTTTGAAGGGGCGTGAGTCGGAACGCAGGCTGAACGGTTCTTCCCACCAATCGCTGCGGACTTGGGATGGCATATTGATGGAGCGGCCACCTTGGCAGCGCTATAAGTCATGCCTCCGTCACACGCCCTATCGCTTGCGGAAGGGCACATCAGTGGTGGGAATTTTGGTCGAGTCCGACCTCCTTTTTCAGGGGCTTGGTACGACCTCGCCCTGGTTCTCCTCATAGAACTTGTCGAGAGGGAGGGGCGGCGTCGAATTGAAGGGGGGGGGAGGGAGTAAATCATGCTAAAAAAGGAAAGGACGCGAGGGAATGCGACCCTCTCCACCTTTTCTTGGATTTTCCCCAACTCCTGCCGGATTTTCCGGGATTTCCCAAAATCTTCCTACTTTTTCCCGAAAATTGCTTTCGAGCGCAGGGGGGGATGAAGAAAACACGACCTCCCCTCCTCTTTTACAACGTCCGTGAAACAAGAAAAATCAACCATTGAATAATTTTTCAGCCCCAAACACGAACCCCCCCCGCTGTTGCATAATCCAAAACTACGTGCCCTGTTTGCGGATCGTGATTGTTATTACAGCGCGTGTGAAACGGCAGAAAACGATATAAAATTAACAATTGCGAGGAACGGCACCAATATTGATAGCAACAAAAACCAATTGATCTCTAAGATGAACTGGGGTCTGTAAAAGATTTTCAAAACGCTGGGAGGAGGAAGAGGGTCAAGAAGGTCCTTCACAACACCATGAATATTTCTTGGATCAGCTTGCTGCTCTCTCATAGAAGGAATGGAATCTCTCATAGAAGGAATGGAATTGTAATGAAATAAACAGTAATAAGTAGGATGGACAAATATTAACTGACGATAATTAAATAGACATAGCGATATAAATATGTATATTCCAAGAAAAGACACCTGCGGTATCTGAAATTAATTATGCAAACGAGAGAAAGTAGTCGTGGTAACATGCAAATGTGCGGAATCGCGTGCACCAGCCAGCCACCTCCTTCCCGACCTTGATTATTATCTCAACCACGGCACCTAACGTTGTCAATAAGAATCGAATAATAGCCTACAATTGAGCCATCCACGACAACCTTCAGTGGCCGTGGAGACCTGGCAAATAATACAATACTGTTGCACTAGCCCAACTTATCGGAACAGGGGAGGAAGAGAAAAGTTCCCTGCTGCTTCGGCTTCGATATAAGCCATACACACGATCTCGAGCAGAAATCGTCCTGAGTTCGGCTTGCTGGGGGGGGGGATTTTCTTGGCTCCCGGAAACACTGCCTGTGCCCTCTGCGGAGACCTTTCAGTTCCTGCAGAGCCATTCACCGGTAATGAGGGGGAGTTTGCCTCAAATATGACAAGAAGGTACAGGTCCCACGAAGGCTAGACGTTTAGATTAAAGAGTAGCGAAAATGCAATTGGTTGCCCCCCCAATCCGGGCAGCGTGAAGAATTGTAATGGATGGAAATATGTATCTTTCATTGAAGAAGGACGGCGAAAGAAGGACGGAGACAGGGGGTTCCGGCCAAAGCCACCTCCTAGAAAAAATCTGGTACCGATTCTTCAGCAAGGTAAATGAAGGGGGCTGAGTTACTCTATTTCGTTCGGTTCTTAGCCACATCTCAGAGTGCAGAAATTCCTGTACCCGAAGCTAGGCTGCTCTCTTGTGTTCCTACAATCTCGGCTTATTATATTGGTCTAGTCATAACAGGGGGAGGTAAGAAGAAACATATGAACTTCAGACAGAATGCCTCCAATACCTCGAAAGTTCCCGCCATAGTAAAGATCATGGTCATCGTACACTAAGAAGGTCAATGGCGCTTTACCTTTGTTTTAGTTTTAGTCTTTTTGGGTGTAGTATTTGAGTTATATGTTTGGGGGGGCATCTTTTCTTGGCGCAAGTCCTTACTAATTCCTGTTAAGTTACACGTTCACCTTGTGCGACTTGTGGACACTTATTGAGTGTAAACCAATTTCATATTTATTGCAGAGCTTTACAAGAAATTACAGGTCTTCAGACGAGACATTCTTGAACTCCAAGGAACGGCAAAATGAACCCACCAAGCCGAACTGCAGCAACAGTGCCCTTCTTAGGTAGGGCCGTGTACGAGAGAAGCTCTGTCAGGAGCTCAGTAGAGCTGCCAAAGAAGGGATTCCTGGCCGTAGGCCTGCTGTCAATAGGTATTGTGTGTTCGCAAACGACGGTTTGATGGTTAGCGGCAAGCTGTAGAGTTGAAGAGTTTCTGTTTAAAATGTGGACCCTGATTACCAACAAGGGCGTCATGACAACTTAAACTGCGAGTTCAGGTTGCCTTTCCAAATCAGCATCTTTATTTCTTTCCCTACGAGAATGGCCCAACGTCATTAACATCGCAGAAATCATTCTGGACGAATAAAAGGGTAAAACAAACTAATAAAAGGTAGAGTCGTGGCAATAGGATGGCCGTGGTAAACTGATCACAGGCGGGCAGTCGTCATGTTGTGGGGAAGTCGTGCCATAAAAGCGTCCCTTTTCCCCACCCCTCCCCCCAACCAAAGTTCCCAATTGAAGTTTTCTACTGTAGATTTTTTAGAGAATTTCACATCCCATTTTAATAGATCTTCCCGGAAACTCGCCAGTGGTAAGGGGAAAACCCAGCCACCTGAACATCTTCTCTCATTAAGCCGCGCGCGCCACCCGAGTGCGACCCTGACTCCCTCTGTTGTAGTTTCCACACCAAATGGGTTCCACAGCGGTTTCCCTGGTCGCAAGCGACATTTAGATCGTGCAAACCCAACCTCAGTTGGCAGATCGAGATTCGCCGTCCATGGGTCAGATGCATGTCGACGAAACCTGAACCGAATGGTAAAAATACTTGTCTAAGTTTTAGCGACCCAAAAGTCTGATTGGTTGGGCCGTACTTACTGAAATGCTTGATTTCCTTAGATGAACGCCTAATGAGCTGCCGCATCGGAGAAGATCCATCAACGGTGCCGGAGCTGTTCGGCTCGGGGGGGGGGAGGCATTAGGCTAATAACGATAAGGGTAGAGACCTATGAAACATGTCAAGAAAAACTTTGTTCTCTAATGCCACTGCATTTACAAACTGGCATTGAGCGAGGATTGTACGGGCCATCCTGTGAGGATCTATGAACTCATTGGCGCAGTCTGGCTTGTTGGGTGGGGAGGGGAGACGGTGGAGGAGGGTGTTTTGCACTGCACTTTCGCTAAATCCCATCATATTTTCATTGCTTTAAAAAAGTTAACAAGTGGTCTGTACAAACTTGGCTGAAATCACTTTGTGGGTCCCATCTTCCTACACCCCCCCCCCACTCCCCAACCGAACAGCACAGTTCGTAAGACCATTGCAATATTACTACTATTTATTTCTTGCATAGTGAAGCTCATACACTCGACAAACTCTGTTTTATTTCACAAATTCACACCACTTTGCGATGGTGGGAAAATTTTGGAGAACAGCAACTAGCAAGATACCCCTCCTTAATCGAACAGCTCCAAATTTGCTTTCTATTTACATTTTTTCTCAGCATACATTACACTCGTCAAGTGAAACCTTCATTTGAATGACGTCATATGACCACATGTTTTATAAACCATTAAATTTCGATGTACATTCAACAGTGAGGAGCAGTGGATACGAGGCAGCGAACAAGAGCTAAACGGTACGATTAGTACTGGAAGGCATTATTCTCATAACTACGTTGACTGGCTTCTTTCCTGTACTCTTCAGCGAGGCGTTTCTTCAACACATTTATTCCTGAAATGATCCTCAGACAAATTTTGTGCTGGAACTTTGATATAGTCCAATCTTCTCATGCATAAAGCAAAAAAAAATTAATTGTGGAGGGGAAAATGATGACCTCTGAGAAACTCTATT